AATACTTCAGCCTGAGTATTTAATCATTTGACAAACTATAAGTTCACTAACAAACAAAATTTTTCTGCTTGCTTCGGAGCCCACAGAATTGCCATGCAAATGTCTCAATCTAAGTATAAAGTCTAATATTTTCCTTAATTGCTTTACAGTGGTGGAAATAACTGTGGGGGCAGCATTCACCTGTCCAGAAACCAAAACCTTGCTCAGCCAGGCTGGTAGAGATGCTTTGGACGGTGCAGCCACCTGGTAGCATGTGATACAGGAACCAGAAGTGCAACCACTTCAAGCATTCATAAACAACAACAAAAAATCTTAAAAAACAGATAAATGCAACCACGTAAGGATTTAGGTGATACTGTGCTTTTAAGCTACACCTGCAGCAGCTCAGAGCTTTATAAAGTATAAAACCAGACAAATGGAGCTCTCTGTAGGCTACGTGATGCAGTGGGGAGCAGTTGCTCAGGTATCAGGGTGCTCTGTAGGGATTAAGTGCCTAGAGATACAAATGCTGTGTGATGGAATCACCAGTGTCACAGAGGTACGTGCTGGCAAGCTAGACTGTATTTGGCGGAAGGATAAGAATCTCCTACAGCTTTTTTTAATTATCCTCATCACGATCACTCGATGATAAAATACTCATTTCTCCAGTGCAAAGAGAAGCGTCGCGCGTTTCCCAGCTAACCTCCTAAAATAAGAACAGGTTGGCGCGTAAGCATAAACCAGGTTGGGACAACCAGTCTCATCCCAGAGCGGAAGCATCCGGAGCACAGACCAAAATGGGAACGGTGGTATTTTCTCAGGTTTTACAGCCACATCTTTACTCTAGTTTGATAATTATTTATTACCACATATATTGTGCTTTGTAAACTTATGCAGTGCATTAGGAAGTAAGACACATTTCCTGTTTTGGAGATCTTGTGATCTCGTGAACTGATAAGGGATACAGATTATCCCTTGGCCGCACATAAATACTACTAGCAAAAGAGTATTATAGTGCCGGGTCCTTTCAAGCCTGTGGCTCTTTCTTTTTCTTAATAACAGTTTCCTCATCAAGTGCTGAAATAAGAATTTTGAGCCCTTCATCTGCCAAGCTTGAGCAGCGTGGACATTGTTTTGCATGTAGTGAAAGCAAAAGCCAAGCAGAGATGTGGTGCAGTGCCGGCAGCTCTGCATGGGATTAATCCCCTGCTTTTGCTTTGCCTCCGAGACGGCAGACGCGGAGCTGGGTGATGGCAGCAGAGAGCCGGGCTGTGCAGCCGCTCTGTGCGTGCGCGTGGTTTAAATAAACAAACAATGGAGCAGCAACTCCACAAATTGTGAGTGGTGCTAATTTGTTATAGTGCTGTCTTGCCTTCTGGCAGTGTTGATTTAGGAGAGGCTGAGCAAACGGGAACTGTTGCGGGAAGCGCCGCTTCTCGCCCTGTGGGCTCTGTGCAACGTGCTCCTAGGGGTCCTGTCCTGAGGAGCTTCCAGATTACAGGGCAACACACAGGCAAGAGCTGCCAATCCCCTTCCCAAACCAAACTTGGGGCAGAGCCACCTCCTCCCTTGTCTTGCCCCTCCCCTTCCACTCTTTTTTTCTTTTCTCTCTCTCTTTTTTTTTTTTATAAATAGGGACTTGGTTTAAGTCGTGATTCATGACAATAGCCTGTAATTTGTGTCTTTTGAGAACTGCCAAAAAATTCTTGACCTTGACAAGAATAGTATGTAGGGAAGGAAAGGAGGAAGATTCTTTTCTTTGGGCTGTAGTAAAGCTTGCAACATCCCCGACCTTGCTGGGCTGCCTCTCCCAGTGCGTCTGGCTGTGCAATCCCTGGCGCTCAGCAGCCTCCCGGCAGAGAAGGTCGACCAGCCGCAGCGGCAGCCCCGGAGTGTCGTCGTGCCGAGCTGCGGAATAACGATGGCAGGGTGGGAGCCTTGCTGAGGAGAGCTGCTCTGGGAAGCATGTTAAGAGTGATCTCCTTACGGTCTGCGAGTTGAGTTTAGGAAAGCTTGAAGCCTCAGGTGAAGGAGACAGGGGAATCAACGGCTGAAATGCTCAGCTTGGACGGGTTTGGAGCAACGCAGAGTTTGCAGGGCTTTATGGCTTCTGCCCTTACAAGTGATAGTGGCTTTCTGGCACCTTGCTGGCCAGCCTCAAAGCTGCAGAAACCCTTTTGCAGGGGTTACAAAGGACCAACTGTAGGAGGTTTGGGGGTTTGATTCTAAGGGATGTTTGACAGGAGAACAGCACAAGATCTTGATGCTGTCTGGACCAATTCTTAAACAGTGGTCTTCCCAAACAGCTTCATGGAAGCGCAGTGCACAGATCCTCTTCTATTTGTGCCAGGGCTCCAAGGCCTTGTTTGCTCTAACAAACCCTGTAACTAAGGGGTCTGAATCACCATAGCCAGTGGATTTAACAGGGCCAGCTGCCTGCTTCCTCCCCGTCCTGGAGATCCCCCTGCAGTGCAGGGACAGCGGAAAGCCCTGCGCGTTGGCTCCAGGGATGCAGTTCCCAGCCCAGGACCGGCTCGTGCGGGTCGCGAGTCCAAGGTCTCCCGCTCTGCTGCAGCGGGGAGGCTGCGGCGGGACCCTGCGGCCTGGGAAACACCCAGCGCTCCCTCTGCCAGGCCGTGGGCTCCTGCCCTCCGCGGTGCTCGCCTGGTGCATCCCCTACTATCCCGAAAGGCCGGTCCCACTGCCCGTAATTCACAGGTTTGCTAATTCTGCCTGACGCTCTCGGGGATTAGCCGGAAAGTAGCAATAATCATTTTGTCGAATCTGAAATCCTTGCTTTGCACAGGGAGAATTCTATATATCAAGTCTCAAAGGTAACTGGAAAACAAGAATTTTGCCTACCAAAGGGAACCAAAGTGGTGGATGGTAGATCGTATCCTTCCAGTGTGGGCTGCGCTGCTCCACTGAATGAGGTGAGTGTTTTAATGCAATAAGGAACCATTAGCTGAGCGTGGGCCGTGGGGCTGCCGGCGCCGCTCGTAACGCGGTATCGACAGTGGCTGCAGCTGGGCTTGCTCAGCTGTTGCAGGGCTGCAGAAGGGCCCAACATCTCTTGCCCCTCACTGGCTTCTGAGGCTCGCTTTGTCTTGTGCCATCCTGTGGCTCTGAGATCAGCTGTGCTCTGCAGATATGCAGAAATTTTAACTGCCTGGCTCTCCCTGACAAGATGCCGATGTTCATGCCTCTCCTTTTCTCCTCCCACCTACGGGCTTTGGGTAGTCCTGATCTCCCTCGTGTTGACAGTGGCACTAAATGGATGCTATATGAGAGCGCTGCTCAGGAGTTGGCAGCAAGCTCCGTTTCTGACTGCAGTGTAAGGTTCCAGCATTAGGAAACACCTTCATTTTAAACAATTCTGTTAATCTCTGCCCTACGGGGAAATACAGCTGTGGAGAAGAGCTTCTTGCTTCACAGTAGCAAGAAGTAAATTGCTGTAATCTGAGTGGATATCTGCATTAGGGCTACTGTCTCAAAGCCAGTCAGAGAAACACCTCCCTGCCGCGCTCGGGCCGCGGATTGCGGGAGCAGGGAGCGCGCGAAAAGTTCAGCAGATGCTTTTGGCTCAGCATAGCCCAGGTCAGTAAACAAACAGTTGCTTATATTTCATTTCTGTATTGTATTGACAAGTTTTAAAAATCTTCAGCTTGAGCAGTCAAAACAGGCCAATCTGAATCAAAAGACCTGTTAGTTCAGCATGAAAGGGATTTAGTTACAGAACTGGGGGGAAACGATGCAGATGGGAATCATGGAGACTCTATTCTGGGCGTGAGCCCAGCAGATGTCTGGGAAGAATGAGCAGCTTTCTCCTTATGTTCAGTGTCCTATACACGATGGCACTTTCTGTGTGCCAGGCCGGTGCACCCCTATGTTTTCACTCTCATCCAAGTAGATTCATTATTTCAAGTCTCTTTGTTGGCCTTTTATTGTGGAAGGTTGAAATTACAATCCCAATTCCTCTAACTTTTTAAATGCATGTGAGACCTGTAGCTCCAGCAGCACAGCTGGAAATGCAACTGTCAGCGTGACAAGAGCTCCACAAAAGCCACACTTTGCCACGAGTCTCTTAAAACCTATTTTAAAACCCTGCAAAGCTGCCGGATTCCTTTCCTGTTTGCTCTGTTGTTGTTATTTCTGCTCCACGGGAGCAGCAGCAGCGCTTGTAGAGAGGGAGCTGTGCTGAGCACCCACCCTGGGACGCTGCCCCTCGGTAACGCAGCCTCGGTTGATTGCAGGGGCTCCCGGGGAAGGAGGATACTCACTGCAGAGGACACCTTCGGTTAGACGAGCTGTGTGTATCTGTGGGATGTGCGTTTCCTTGGCTTGGAAAGAATGTTGTTACTTTTGCCTTTGGATAAGGAAGAGTGGAATTAAGGTGCAGAAACATTCCCACTGTAATTCACTGTGAATCAACTTATCTCTGGTCCCTAAGAACACGAAGACCTAAGTGTTATCAGTGAAACATCATTATCAATAGGAGTACTTCTTTTACCTCAGCAGCTGTAACAAAAGGCAAAGAACCCTGCCTTGCTCAATGCCATGACATTGCTAGAAAAGCAGGATTTCAAAGGCTTGGGAAGCGGGACAGGGAAATGGAGACAACGCAGTGGATCTGTAGCGGGTTTAAAGTGTTCCTGCCATTGCCTGTACTGTGTGGGGAACGAGACCATGAAGCTCTGACATGAGACTTCTTGTTGCAGAAATATTTCTAACTGGTGGTATTTAGTTGACTGAACTGCTGGGCAGAAGGAAGCTGGTGCAGAAGCTGTGGGAGCTGCTGCTCTTGTGCCTGCGTGGCTGGGTCCCCCTGAAGCTCGGTGCCTTTGGAGCCCTGAATGGAGAGGGGCAGAAACTTTGAGACCTTCCCCTCTTTGTCCATTACAGTGCAGTCTGGGGTGATGGGTGGAGGGGAGGTTGTTCTAGTAGTTACATTTTTAAGGCAGGTGACCGTTTTAAAATGTACGTTTCAATTTTGATTGCAGTTTTTTAATTGCATTTAACAGCGTCCCTGCTGGTTCTCCATTCTGCATCCGTGCAGCCACGTTCTATTGATGGCCTGTTGTGATTTCAATGGAACATCATGGGATGTACCTGGCACGTCGGGCAGCACTGGATGGAGGTGCCTTTAGCCCAATGTACCTGGCATGGTAAGCGGCAACCAAGCGGTTAATCTGCATTCTACTGCTCGTAGTCTCAGCTTGTATAGCAAGGTGTCCTGCTTCGCTGCAGCCTTGTCCTGACTAGAAATCACTTTGCTCTCCTGATGTTAGTGCTTTTGTGCACACAGAGCCCCTGTCCTCTTCACCTGTGGAGATTGCTTCCCTGGGCAATCAGCCATGGAGCAGGGGTGGCACTAGCCATGTCACACTGTTATTCTAGAGCAGCAGAAAGGAAGGGCTGGGGGCATCATGTCATCCTTTTTCTCTCTTCCTCCTTGGGCCAGGAGCTGGTAGCGCTTGAGCATGTTGCCCATGTCCTTAATATCCAAACGTTGCCGCACAAAGGTACCAAGCAGGTGCTTGTGTCCATGAGCAAAGCTCTAATGTTTCCGTGGGGGTCCTGCAGGGCCGCTTCAGGGAGCGGGGAGGGCAGTTCTGCCTGGCGCTAACCGCGATGTGACAGACTCAGGGAGGGCTGCTCTTCGCTTGCTGCTGCAATGTCCTCTCTGGGAATGTCCTCCTTGCTCCAACCGCAGCAGCAGCTGTGTGTCCTGCCCTGCCCTGCATGCTGCTTTCTCTCCCTTCCCCTGCTCTGCACTCGCTAACTCGACATGTTGCTCTGACCTCTCTTGAAGCAGGAGATACTCCCGTGTGACAAACGGGTGCTGCGGCCTGTTTTGTGCTTGAGCCCCCTGCCAGCTGTGGCTGCCCCGCTGCCAGCGATGCAACGTGCATGTTCCCGCTTCTGCTCCGGAGCTCTGCGCTCTGCCTGCGCCCAGGAGCTGGGGACAGGGAAGCATTTGGGCTAACACAGGCTCTGCATTTCTAGGGCTGCCTCTGCTGCGCTGCAGTGTGAACATGTTTACAAGGCACGGGCTAATGACCCGCCAGCTCAGCTCCCGGGGGAAGGTTAGGGCCATGAAAGCCCAGCTCACTGCTACCTGGGGAGAGCTTGTGCGGGGCTGTGTAGAGAGGAAGGCCAGGTGAGCCGTGAGCAGGAGGAAAGCTCTCATCCACCGGGGGCTTCAAAGGTAGATCAGCTGGAAGCGAGGAAGTGATCCGTCTGTTTCACACAGATCCGGCAGCAGCTGGACACGTGCTTTTTACATCCAAAGCTGGAGAAACACTGTAAATTGGTGGGAGAGAGCAACATAGGAGTCAACTGATTTTGTTTTGCCTTGATCTTCTCTATGCTCACTGCTGCAGTGTCTGCTCAGAGCAGCAGCACTGCTTGGGAAGGTGGAGAAATAATTAAAAGGCCCCTGTATTTCATGGGTATATTATAACATGCACAGTAGGCTAATGCTTTAATGGCATCTAATTTGCTATCACCTCTAATCTGTTTGTTGGTTTTTATCTGCAGTACTGTTAGGCACTATTCAGGTGCTCGCTGTCTAGCCTTCTCATCCATCCACAAATCCTCTACGTGAAATGAGTGATTCCTTAGATCTGTTTTTGATTGATTCTTTGCTTCACTGGTGTTGCTTCTTAAAAGGTAAACTATGTTCATATGCTGCAATCTATAACTCACAGGTGGAATCAAATAGCATCTCCTGCCAGAGGTTGCTAAGATAACACATTTAGCATTTATTGTACAATTAATTTTAGGAAGAGATTTAGCAGTATTACAGAGAATCAAATCTGCAGTGAACACATAGATTTATACTTTAAGGGGGTGAAGGGACTCTCTTCTCCTGTACCTGGGCAGTCTAATTTTCAGTGACTTTCAGAGTCTTTGTGGAAACGGAGAGCAAATGAAGCGTTTTCCTGCTTTGTAGAAAAAGCAGCAAAGCTCCTGCAGTGTTGCTGTGTTCTGCAATCTTCATGCCCGTTGGATCCCCGTGCAGCCCCGGCTGGCTCTGAGCCACTGATTAGTAACTCAGTTACCCAGTTCCTTGGGCAATATTGCTTATGAAGACACTATCAGCTCTTCGCTTGCGTAGCTTTGATGTGTGGCATCCGCTTGCAGCATTACTGTGTTCTGTGATTTGTGCCCTGTATTTTTCGCATCTCTGCATGTGCTGTGTCTGTGCCTCGGAGCCGGTGGAGGAGGGAGAGCCTTTGTCCTGCTTCTTTCCTCACCTGCACAGGAATCCCTGACCAGGCTCATTGCTCTGAAAACTAAATGTCCCAAGTGACTAGGAAGCAACTCCAAGTAGAACAGGAACCAGAGCTGTTTGCCAGAGCCTTCTCTGGTCCTGTTTTGCAGCCAAGAAAATGTGAAATTTTGCTTACCAAATTCAATAATAAAAGATTGTGGCCCCAGTGAGACATTTACATTTTCCTGAGGTTTTGTTTTTGTTTTGCTTAATAGAAATGTATCCAACTCTTCTGAGCTAGGACTCCTTTGAACTGGGAATATGTTTTTCTATCTTCTTCCAGAAAGTAGAAAAGGATGGCTTCTTAAAAACAATACCAAAACAAGAAATATAAATCACTGAATTCTGAGGAGCAGGGTGGGGTGATGGTGGTTCTTCTTGTCCAGATGTTCAGGGTTTGTTAAAAGCCTGTCCCTGCAGAGAGGCCTTTTTAAGGATGGCTGTACCTGCTGTTTGCTTAAGATCTGCTATTTTTTATACTGTACTTTATCTCAGTTATCTTTGGGCCCATGTTTTCGACCAGAAGTGAGATCTTGGGAATGCTACAATGTCTGCTTCTCTTTTGCAAAAAAGGTTTCTAACACTTCCCTCTTATCCCATCCCTAAGACAGATCATGGCTAAAGAAGGGGGTAGAATTGGCCAGCTCCAGATAAACATCTGGAAGGGATTTATTTGTGTTCAGGACTGCACACGATCCACAAGCCAGGTCGATGCTATAAAGTTGTTGCCAGCAGAGGTACATCAGTCAAAGGTGTTTTCTGACCCACGGGGCTGTCCTGCTAGAAGCCCCCAGTGGGGATTTCCTGGCAATCTTTTAAACTTGGAGTTTTAATGTTGGCAAAAGCTTTTGCTGCCTTGTTCCATTCCATGAATTTTATTGGGGCTGCTAAATCCACGTTAGACTTCAGCCCTGAGAGCTCTTCAAATTATTACTATGTTGTAGTGCTTAAACCTGACCACTGCTTTTAAAATCTACAGAGGGTAGTAACCTACCTCATACTTTTGTCCTTGTGAACATGAATACTTTTGTAAGATTTGACATGTGGGATAAATAGAGGCAATTTAAACAGCTTGTACTATGCTAATTTTTCAGTTGGAGAACATAGGAAGGCTTAATCTTCCTCATGAAGGTCAGTAAATAGCAGAAGTATAATTCTACCCCTGCTCCCAGGGCTTTCCCCTGCAGGCTCACTACCTTATTTTGTTATCATTTAATGCAGAAAGAAAAACTAGAAGTAAAAATCGAAGTATATTTCCCCCTAGTAACTTCAGCAATCCTGTAGTGCAGAAAAGGCTTAGACAAATGTGCATAAAGAGTTTTCTAGACCTCTGCTTCAAGTGCCACAGGAATGGGGAGTAAGTTTGCTTTTAATTCGCTAACGCACATTTTTTGTTAGTCTACACAGGCACAAAATATTATTGGCCGCTGTTTTCCTTCTTGCATTTCTCCTTTATGGAATGATTAAAAATCATATTGAGGGATTTTGTTTCATAGATTCATGTAGAGGAAATATTATATCTGTAGTGAAAACAGTGTAGCAGCAGGCTGACTCTGGCTCATCTTGAGCAGTATGCATTATATACAGAGACACCCTCTTATGTTGCAAGTGGTGTTTTTGTCCTTCCCTATCAATGTATCTCTGTGACCCAGAAGTAAGTCCTTTTACTGGCCTCGTTAGATAAAAGTGGGTATTTGGTGCCTCTGTGCTGTTGCTTCTTCCTCTTAATCAGCAGTTTTGGAAGCAAGCCACTAAAACCAGACACGTTGCCTGCGTGCTGCAACTCTGATGTAACTAATTACAGCAAAACTTGTTTTTAAAGTGCTCAGCACTGTTTGGTGGTGGTAATCCCTGTCACTGTCACGTTTTTGTGATGCTGCAGGGTGAGTTTCTATGACAGAAACACTGCACAGGGAGGAAAAAAAGTAAGTGGCCAACGTCATGGCAAGCCTGGGTCTCACTCTTTGCCACCTTCCTAAGAGCGAGGCGCACTGGGCCCGAAGCGGGTGCGCGTGGGCCGTAGGGCCGAACCCCCATCTCCTGTGGCTCCTGCGCACTGCTCAGACCCTGCAGAACAAAAGCAGAGCAGCCGTTCAGCTGGGGTCAAGGTCACAAGCTCTGAGCGGGCGCAGCCTGGATTAGATGCTGCTGCGCTGAACGGGGACCCCGAAACGCTGCCCAGTGCCCGAGGGAGGCCCAGGCCACCCAGGCGGGCGCTGCCGCGGGGTGTCCCGCGCGCGGGGACGGCACTGGCCGGAAGCACCGGCCAGCAGAGCTGCAGGAAAAGTCGCATTCCTTTATTTTTGGTAGGTTTTTTTCATGTAAAGCAAAGCCTTTTCATTGTGCAGAGATGGACAGTGTAAATTTACCATCTTTTTTCCCAAATTAAATCCTCCTATTTATCATCAGTTGGTGAGAATGAGGTTTGGGGGAGGATTTTTTAGCCTTAATATTGAAAATATCACTCAGTATTTCTTTCTCTTGAGTACACAGACTTGACCCAGAGGGAAGATAATGCAGTCTAATGCTGCATCATTTGAAATCTGGTTGTGGTAATGGGGCTCACAAGCAATAAAAACATTAACTATTAATTAGCCTACTGATTTCAGGAGAAAATTTAATCTCTTTATTTCTGTGGAAGTATGGCCTGCTCTTTCAACAGTTTGAATAAGTTTGAATAGCAAGATGAACTGGAAGAGAGAAGGGAAAGGCTAAAGATGCTTGTTGTGTGCTTGGTATTTAATTCCTGTATTTGAACCTCAGAAGCCATTTTAAATTAACTATAAAGAAATAACTTAGATAACTGCCTATTACAAATAGTAATTGCCACTTTCAAACAAAGACTTCAGCAACAGAAGTCAAAAAATTGATCTCGGTTTCCTAATGAAGCCTCAACTCTAAATTCAAAATCTTATGAACAGTAGCATCTACCAAACCCAACATTACAATTGGTTCTGACAGTCCTCAGAAAAGGTCCATACTACTTGGAAAGCCGACATAAATATCTAAAACGAGCTCAGCACCCCAAATTGCAGCCAGTTCAGGGTTGATTCCAGTCCTTACTGGCAATGGTTTGTGATGGGGACTTTGCCAGGGGGCTGCTTTTTAAAGCTGCCACTTTTTACTCTTAAGGAGATTTTCCATTCACACCTCAGTGTCATTAATTCCACCTTCAGTGGATTTAGTTGTTACATGTCATTTTCTTAGCCCCTGAGTATTTAGGTGTTGTTAAGAGTTCAAATATAAGAGCCAAGAAGCAAACTACAAGTTAAAGCAGGGAAGCTGCTGCTTATGTTAATTATTTTACATGCTCAGATATGCAGATTGCAGTAAAATAGGTGCTTTTTCTTTCCTTCTTTCTCCTCATCTTTGCTTCTGATTTATTTCAGGGAAGAGGAACCTTCCCCTATACCTAAGTATTGTTTTCTGCTGACATCTTTTGACTGATAATTCCAGGCAAACATGATTCCTTTTGTTTAATAAATAAATAGAGAGAAAAAGCTATTTACAAATCAGATTTTTAACAACCTGAAATTTTAGCCCAAGAAATAAATTTTACCAGTTCTCCTGGTATTCCAAGCAGGATCACAACTTTCAGACCTGGAGGTGCCCAGAGCTCTTTAGTCAGTGTCAATCCTAACGCTAGATCACATCATATTAAGCTAGTCTATTAAGCATAGACCTGTTCAAGTACAAACAGCAGTTCATACCTCTCATTCTCCTGTCTCACAGGTGGTAAAGTGAAGGTGAAAGGAAGAGAAGGTGGAGATGGAACTGCCAAATCATGCCAAACAACTGCTATTGCAGCTGAACCAGCAACGAGCCAAAGGTTTCCTCTGTGATGTGATCATTGTGGTAGAAAATGCCCTATTTCGTGCCCATAAGAACATCCTGGCAGCCAGCAGCATGTATTTCAAATCCCTCGTCCTGCATGACAACCTGATTAACTTAGATACGGACATGGTGAACCCCACCGTGTTCCGGCAGATTTTGGACTTTATTTATACTGGTAAGCTCTTAACGACTGACCAGCCCGGTGAACAGAACTTCAATGCTCTCCTCACCGCAGCAAGCTACCTCCAACTGCACGACCTGGCAGCTCTCTGCAGAAAGAAGCTCAAGCGGAACGGCAAGTCCTTTGCCGGCAAGGCCGGTGGCCTTGGTGTTGGGAGAGCTGCCAGGAGTCAGAGACTTTCCACTGCTTCGGTCATCCAAGCTCGCTATTCAGGGTCAACCGAAGGGTTGAAGGGCTCGCACTCGAAGGAGCTGTCAAAGGGAAAGCTCTCCGATGATGAGGTCTTCATCAGCAGCTCCAACCAAGAGAACTGTCACTCCTTAAGCAGGGGAGCCGCTAAGAACGGCGGTGGGGGCGGCAGTGCAAACGGAAGCACCGGCGACCAGGAGTTAGGCCTCGACCTGTCCAAAAAAAGCCCGTCGCTCCCCGTTGCAGCCTCCCACGATGACACGCAGCACAGTGAAAGCCAGCACGGCTCTCCCCAATCTGCCTCAGCCCCCGCAGCCAACAGTGCCTCATCGTTCGACGAGTCCGGCGTCGGAGCCGCTCACAGCATGGCGGACAGCAGCGACCCCATGGAGATGGATCTGAGCGAAGAGTGTCACCACTCGCTGGCGGAGGGCAACCAGCGCAAGGGCCTCCGGCACTCGTCCCGCAAGAAGGAGTGGATCAGGAAAGACAACGCCTTCGACCGCAAGGAAGGGAGTAAAGACAGAGACGAGGGCGAAGGGCTGCCCAATGGCATCCTGCTGGGACCCTTGGCCAAGTCGGTGGAGCGGAGCCTGGCCGGGGCCTACGGCGCAGACCTACCGTACCCGTGCAAGGAGGAGGTGGAAAACGGTAAGGAGAACAGCGACGACAGCGGCCAGAGCGAGAGCGAGAGCGGCGGACACACCAGTGCCAACTACGTCTACCGGCAGGAGGGGTTTGAGCCTGTGCCCTACGGTGACAACCTGTATGTCTGTATCCCCTGTGGCAAAGGCTTCCCCAGCTCCGAGCAGCTCAACGCCCACGTGGAGACGCACACCGAGGAAGACCTTTACATTAAGGAGGAAGGCACATACGGCGGCAAGGATGAAGCTGAGGATTTGTCCAACCCCAACCAGCCCTACGCTGCGGAGTCCCGGCCCTTCAAGTGTTCCGTGTGTGAGAAAAGCTACAAGGATCCGGCCACGCTGCGGCAGCACGAGAAGACTCACTGGCTGACGCGGCCCTTCCCGTGCAACATCTGCGGCAAGATGTTCACGCAGCGGGGCACCATGACACGCCACATGCGCAGCCACTTAGGGCTGAAGCCCTTTGCTTGCGAGGAATGCGGGATGCGCTTTACCCGGCAGTACCGACTGACAGAGCATATGCGGGTCCACTCAGGAGAAAAACCTTACGAATGTCAACTGTGTGGTGGGAAATTCACCCAGCAGCGCAATCTGATCAGCCACCTGCGAATGCATACCTCTCCCACATAAGCCAAAGACTCCAGAATGAGCTTCGAGCCCATCCGCAGTGATTTACCTTTCTGTAGACTTGCTGCTTAAAAAAAAAAAAAAAAGAAAAAAAGGAAAAAAACAAAAAACGAAAAAAAAAAACAAAAAGGGGGCAACTCCCCAACTTCTGTTCAGTCATGGGAGGCCTAAACAAATGTAGCTTTAACATTAAGATTTTTTTTCCCTTTTTTTTTTTTAAAAAAAAAGAAAGGTCCACAGCCAAGCTGATGCATTTTGCCAACTCTTCCTCCAAACCTTGGTGATCTGGCAAGAAATGCCGTTTCTTTTTGTGCATGTTGACTTCATTTTGATTATTTGGAGCAGGAAGGGGGACCACGTGGAACACTTGATTTCACTGGCTGCCCCCTCCCTAGCTCTTCCGCGTTACTACCACGCTGCCGATGTCCTCGTTAAAGCCAGACTCGGCAGAGGTATTTCTTGCTACGAGGAAGAACGTGAAGGTCCAGCTGCTTTTCGGCGGCCCGAGCAGCTCTGAGGCCCCATGGCGCCGCGCTGACGAGTGCGGAAGCTGTCTGTGGACCCGTGCGCCGCGCTGGCAGCCCCCGCTGCCGAGGGGAGGCCCTGGCACTGGGGGACGCTCCCACGTGCCGGGCGGGCGATGCCGGCAGCAGCGTCCCCAGCCCCGCTCCCCGGAGCGTTTCAGCAACGGCAACGCTTCCCTCGGCATCCCTCCTCCTCCTCGTGGTTTTGGTCTTTCTCCTAGGCACACGTAGCCACGTGCCACCTTTTCCCGCAAAACACGCAAACCTCTTCTGCCTTACCCATGACTGAACAGGGACTGGATGCCCTCAGAATTTCTTTCAGTGAGCAGGGGGTCGTCTTTACTTTTCTAGTAGTTTCGTATGAATATTCTTTGCTTAGAGGTACTTGTTTTATTAAAGGAGAAACCATTGTAACGTTTATGTGAATGTTTGAACTGGAAGGTCTGAGGTTAATTCTAGGGTGGGTGGGCAGGGAGGGGGTTTGATGTAGGCTGGACTTGCTACAAGTTCCTTAGGTACTTTTTTATTATTTTTTATTTTATTTTTTGTGTGTGTGTATGTTTTTAGCTTTCCTCCCTCACTAAAGAGCGAGTCTGTGTGGACAGACTTGTTACCTTTGCTACCTCTTGAATTCATGAGAACAATAAGATGGTTAGTGAAAGATTAGGCTTTTTGTTTTTTTCTTATTGTAAGTAATTAAATGTATAAAAGTAGAAGCTAAATTAAGGGATTTTTACCACCCTGTCCTTCCATCAAAAGTCAGCTAGAAAAGTGTTAAAGCAAAGCTCAGCCAAAGACAAGGCAAAAAAACGTGGAGCCAGAGGCTGTGCTGGCAGCTTGGACTGGCTCGCACGGCAGTCGCTTGGGTTTTTGTAGTCACTTTTAGATTAAAAAAAAAAAAGAAAAAAGAAAAAAAAAAGAAAGAAAACTTCTCTGAGCTTTTTGGGCCCTTTCCAGCTTTGTTTATTGAATCTGGATACTATGGGGAGGGGAAAATGTCTCCCTCATCTTCCACTCCCCCAGCACATCTGGGTCAGTGTGTAAACACCTGGCAGGACAGAGGGTGAGGGCATAGCAGCCTATAATTTACTAGAATCCAGAGTGCAATAAGGTGGGGGAGAGGAGGAAAAGCAAACCAAAGTGTTTCATATCCTCCCTTTTAGACAGTTTAACACACGCACACAAAAAGTAAGAAAAATGAAAAGAAAAAGAAACAAAATGTTCTTGCAACATCTGCATAAGACATCACAGCCAACAGCTGCTATTGGTTTAGGAGAGAAGACAGAGAACTTAGCCCACCGCTTCTTGGCCCCCTTGACTTTGTTGGCGTGACCTTGTGGAAAGCTATGGCTTATTTCAAGCCTCCTGTGACTGTGGTGGTAAAAATTCACAGCCAGTAGAATCATCCCTTCTGAACTGAATAAGGTTTACACTTGTGGGTTTTTTTGTGTTTTTTTTCCTTTGTTGTTTTTTTTTCTGCTCAAAACCAGTACAGTCTCTATGCGTAGGGTTTATCAAACCTCACGTATTGTCCTTTTTTTAAAAAAAAAAAAACTTTTTTTAATGTTTTGACCAAAAAAGAAAAAAACAAAAAAACTGAGCATGTTTGACTAAAACAAAGAAATATAAGCTTCATTTTCTACTTTTTGTTTTTGTTAAGGTAGACTAGTCCATAAGAAGTTTTTGGGTCAATTGAATGAACTGAGGAAACTGGAATCCAGGCTCCAAGCAATAGACGCCCCCGGCCTGGCCTGGGCCTGGTGTCACGTTACAGGGAACAGCTCCCGCTCCGGCCGCTCCCGCTTGTGCCATTGTCCGGCCGCTCCGGGCGCTGGGCAGCGCAGAGGGGAGCGGGGCCTCCTTATGAATTCTTGTTTTCTAATCGTGCTGAGATGCGCTGTTTTCTTTTGGGGGGTTAGGTGGGGTTTTAGTGTCTTTAGCACTTGCACATTTTGATATATATTGGATTTTTCTCCCCGTGGCTCCTTGCTAAAGCCCCCCTGAGTGTCATCTTGGGGGGCAGGACGGGGAGGGCCTTGCAGCAGGGCCCAGGGGCGGCCGGGCCAGATGAGTTCCTAGGCACTTTCACCCTGCGCCCGCTTGGACCTTTCCCTGCAGCAAGTGCCCGAGTCCAGATTTTCAAAACGATTTTTAGCCCCCCACTTACCCAGGGGGGTTCTGCCCTGCCCGGGCCCGTCGGCAGCTCGTTGAGGCGCCCACGGGCCCGGGCAGGACAGAACCCCCCTGGACACCCAGCTCAAGCTGCGACTGACTGAGCCACAATGCGGAGCAGCGTGTTGGGCTGCTCGTCGCTCCCCTGCGTTTTAATTCGATTTTTCACAAGCGTTCACATGGGTGATAGATCCTCTCCTTCCACCCCCAGGCCCCTCTTCGTTTGTTTCTTATGCCTTGAAAATCATTTTGAAGTTTCAGGACCCAATGCTACTTTTTAATTTTAATTTTTTTTTTTTTAGGAACGTTTATTTTTTATTTTTCCCCCTTCCCCCAGCACTTAAACAATACGACATAAAGTCTGTGTACAGCAAGAGTATTGTACAAAAGGAAATTTTGTTCTTTTTTCAAGTAGCTGTGTAAAGTTGTGTTCCATAGATTGAATATAAACAACATTTTCCAAATTGTGACAGTAATAATGAATAATAATACTCAAAACTTCAGGGACTGTTTAAGGCCTGCTTGGGGCCTAAACACTCAACTGCATTTGTACGACATAGTATTGTATCAAACATTTTTCTGTATTTTAATGAGAAAGCAAAACACTAGTTTCATATTTAAGATTTTAAGAGTTTTAGGGTGGGGGGGAGGGAGTTGCATTTTTTTTTAATTTTATTTTAATTTTTTTTTTGAAATACACAAAGAGCCTCAAGAGGAATAAAACAATTTAAAAACAAACAAAAAAAAGAAAAAAAAAAGAGGCCAGGCAGCTTAAGTATATGCTTTAGTCACTTAGTTCCAGAATGTTTTCGGAATAACAGGAAAAAAGAAAAGATAAAATAGCGAAAGTTGTATAAAAAAAAAAAAAGAAGCTCATACCCAAATTCACAAAACTATTTTTTAAACCAAAGCACATTTGAATGAGTATGGAACCTCACTTGGCTCAGAAAAGTACTAATATATTTATCTCATTGTTTACATAAACTTTTACAGTCTCAGACCTCAACAGATCTAGGGGCCAGTCAAAATTAATCTTTGCTTTTTCCATTGGTTTGTCCCGGGCGCGACGCAGGGGTTTGTCCCCAGCGCAGGGCCCGCGACGCTGAGGGCCCCCGCGAGCGGGGACGGGGCCTCTGTGCTGGGCAGCCTCCCTCTTGCTGGGACGAGGGCAGCGAGGGAGGAAGGAGGCTCTGGAATTCAGAGCAGGAGTGA